TTAGCTCCATATGTGTAGAACAAAAGAGGGACAAGCAGTGTCACTGATGTTATGTGACAGAACGATGAAAAAGATGACCTTCGTGGGAATCGAACCCACATTTCCTGCTATCCGGGCAGATGTCCTAAGCCAATTAGACTAGAAGGCGCATCTTAATCATCGTTTAGCGTCCAAGTGATTCATCATGGATGCTAACAAGAGCAAAATAAAGGAAGAAATGGATGATTGATTGAAAATATTACAATGAATAACTTTTATTTAACAAAAAAAAACTTACAAAAATAATCGTTGTCAACTTTGTTAACAACTTGACTCAAAAAGAATTCTCGTCTTGTAACAAAATCCGATATCTATGAAGAGAAAATTTCTCTCTCTTATTTTAATAATTTTTCTTCTCTCTATTTTAGACTATCCATTACGTTCTCCATCCAGCACCAACATTCATCTGAATGCTCGATGGCAACAAAATGGTATCACTGTAGCTGGAGGAAATCGACAAGGCAATGGAATCAATCAACTCTCAAACCCATATGGTTTGTATGTTGATGATGATCAAACAATCTATGTTGCTGAATGGTCGAATCATCGTATTGTGGAATGGAAACGAGGTGCAACAAGTGGCCAAGTGGTTGCTGGTGGAAATGGACAAGGAAGTGGAGATCATCAATTGTATAACCCATATGATGTGATTATCGACAAAGAGAGAGATAGTCTCATCATATGCGATTATTCGAATAGAAGAGTGGTTCGATGGCCTCGTCGAAATGGGACAAGTGGAGAAACAATCATCTCCAACATCTCTTGTGTGGGTTTGACAATGGACGAGAATGGATCTCTCTATGTCACTGATGTTGGAAAACATGAAGTGAGACGATATCGAAGAGGAGAATCTCAAGGAACAGTGGTTGCAGGTGGCAATGGAAGTGGAAATCGTCTCGATCAACTCTCTGACCCCTCATACGTATTCGTCGATCGAGATCATTCAGTGTACGTATCTGAATGGAACAATCATCGTGTGATGAAATGGATGGAAGGTGCAAAACAAGGCATTGTCGTGGCTGGTGGTCAAGAACAAGGAAATGGTCTTACACAATTGTTATATCCTGCAGGAGTCGTTGTCGATCAATTGGGCACTGTCTATGTGGCTGATGAATGGAATAATCGAATCATGCGTTGGCCTAAAGGAGCCACACAAGGAAGTGTCATTGTTGGTGGAAACGGTAGTGGAGAACAATCGAACCAACTCAATAGACCCTTCGGTTTGTCATTCGATCGACACAGGAATCTCTATGTCGTCGATTGGGGAAATCATCGAGTTCAAAAATTCAATATCTATTTGAATGTGTAAGAGTTGTTGAAATGTTTTTTATATGAAACGTTCAATCGAATATGTGAATAGATATTAAGGATGACGAATGAATGTATAGTCTGATATAATGAAACAATACGAGTGAATACTGATTGAGTGAATAGTTAGTATTGGATGCAGGTGAGAACACTTGCATATCATTTACTGCTTAGAGGTCGACTTGAATGCATGTTCGCATTGTTGAGAGAGAGTCCACCAGAGTGCTTAGTATAGTCTCTATCTATCAAATTTTATAGTATTTTGTTTGTGCGCTAGATCGATAGAGTATACTAAAAAAATAGGAAACCCCAAATATTCTGTTTTCAAAATTCCCGTTTCCGGAAATTCAGTCCAAAGAGCATTGATATATGAGAAAATGATCATTTTATTCTCAGTTTTAGTATTTAACGATTTTCTTATTGTCTATGAATTTGAGGAAGTTGGTTCATATATCTTTGGATAGAAGAGATAACAGACTATAAACCATTTTATTCTGAATCCACTTGAATGTATAGGAGGCTCGCTAGGTCTGAAATGCTTCAAATAATTAACTATCTTGAAAATGACGATTCTCTTCACTATTTTGGATATTTTGACATGCGAACTAAGAGATGCCATGATTTGTTTTGTTATTTACATGCACGATATGGTATGATATAAAAAGAATGACATTTTTATAAAGGAACTATATAATAATGTTTTATTTTAATTTATTTTGTCACCAAAATTAATAACTGATTCATGTTCAGTAATAAAAGCTGAGTCAACAAGGCGTAACCACAGTTTATTTTGAATATCTAGAGAAGTCGCTCGGATGATCACTTTCGAGAAGTAACAGATTGTTGATGATGTGCTCCCATATGCTCTGCCATTGTATGCTTTTGAAAAGAGTAGTAGTTAATCTGGTAGAGCTTTGCGAATACTTTAAAATGCACTATTTTAATTTTATTGGTAATTGAGTTTAAGTGATAAGATAAGTCATTTTATAAGAATGTGCTATGTGTTCACAAAGTGTCTATAAAAGTTGCATAGATGCAGACCTTAATTGTAAATTCTAACTGATGTTAAAATAGTACCTTAGACTCAATTCGAGGTGCTCATTCTCATAATGATGTTATAAGATCGACATTCTTCTATAAAAGGTGCGAAAGTAAATTGGAATTATCAGAGACTTTCTCAGAAATCAAAAAATGATTCCAAACAATATTTTTACAGTTTCCACCAACATGATTTGTAGCTCATTTATTGATATTTCAGCATAAAAGGTTTCGAATCAAATCAACAATAGTTGATCATATGAGATAGATGAAGATAATCGGGCAGGTACGGATTCACCGCTCTGTGCCTCAATACGACCGCATGAGCGAAAATGAGAAATTTTCATTTTTCAGTAGTGGATTGTATTGCGAAGCGAACAACTCATCTGCTTTTGATGATAGACGACATGATCGAAATAAATTTTGAATGTGCCCCTACAATAGTAATTTGGTTCAAGTTCCAATCGTAGAGATTGTTAAACAGCTCCCTTTGATGGTAAGCTCCATTACAGTAAATCGATATTGTGTTTTTTAATGTCTTACCAATTAGTCATATTAAGCTATTAGAACATTGAAATTTTAGGATGACGGATCGCTGAAAAAGACTGCACTGTTTCTTGATGAAATTCTGAAATATGCTTTTGTGCCCATTTTTTGGTTTCCGAGAGTCTCTGAGAATTCTACTTTAGTTTCAAGTTTCTACAAAAAAAATTGAATCTTATAACTTTACTAAAGCCATCGACAGATTAGAAAACCCTCCTATATTAGAAGACCCCCCTGGATAAATGAAGCAAAAGACATATTAGAAGACCCCCCTGACAAAATCGATTTTTTTTACAAATAATTTCTGGAGTTTATTAACTTTTTTAGTATTTAAGTCCATAATTTATCTTTAGGTCAGTATGAACAATATTTTGCTTCATTCATGAAAATGATGGACCAGTTCGAAGTGAAAAAAGTCTTGCGAAACGATGAATAGGAAACAACTATTTATTAAAAAATGCATTTCTTTATAGAATACATATCATGGAATCTTTTTAGGGGTCTTTTGCAGCATATTCCGAAGGAATTTTTACGGTTCTCTATGCAAAAAAACTTCTCATGACCGTGGGTTATGATGGACTCAATGAAGAACCGTGGATGTAACCCATGAAGAGATCTTTGTAAAATAGTACCATATTAGGTGAAACTTCATTGCCTAATAATTAAAAAGCCTCATTGTCTGGGATTTCTAGAAATTCTGAAACATATTCATCACAAAGGATTCTTTGATAATTGAAAAACACGTGAACTCATGGATATACGCTCAAGACAGAAACGAATAAGAAAATCTCAATTCGGCAAAGCCTTCGATCGGATTCAGTTCGCCTCAGACAAAGTTAATCGAATAAGATCATTCGACAATTCGATTTGGTTTTCGTCTCTAATACGCATCGGTTTTTTGTAACTACTTCTCATGAGACTCAGAACGCATTTCTATTCTCAATAAAGACTGAAGTCAATTTTTTAAAAAAAGACCAAGAAGAGAACACAAAATGTGTATCCAACTACTCTTTCTTTATTAATTGCTTATTCTTAATACAAATGTATTCATTGACGTTGGTTTGAGACTTATAAATATGCTATTAGTAGATTTTGATGTAAACAGAGTCCATTAATACTAGTCAAAAATAAACAAGAACAGTAAATTTAATTGAGTTTGATAAAACAAGTTAATTCTTTTTCTGAGTTATTTAGTTATTGAGAAGTTAAAATTTGTTCAATGACAGATCTTATTTTTTAGAAAAAAAGCTGTTAGTGAACGTTTTATCAAGGTGTTCTGGTACGTTTCCTTTAGTATTCTAAGAATATTTATTACCAATGATAGGCTCTCTTTTTTTCACAGGATAAAATTTGTTACTATCTCATCATACACATGTTGAATAAGTAAAATACTGCTTTTCTAACGATTATGTAGAACAAAATTGAATTGAAACAAAAATTTGTTGGAAAGGCTGGTGAAAAATATAACTTTTTAGGGGACATAATAGAAGACCCCCCTTGTCACTTATAAGCGATAAGACAGAATAGAAGACCCCGGGTCTTCTAATGTGTCGGTGGCTTTATGCGAAAGAGCAATTCTAATTGAGCCTGCAGTATTATTTTAACGTCTGTCAGACATTACACTTAGGAAATATACCTATGCAACTTTTATAGCCATGTTTTGGACACATAGGACCTTCTCACAAAGTGTCAACGGTTTTTTGAACTGAAATTTTGAAGGGAATATTTTGACAACGACATATTTTGTCTTGTATTCTTTAACTTCCTCTATCGATCCAGCATATAAAGAGAATAATGCAAGGTATAGTTGATGCTCTGGTAAACTCTATCTTAACGATGAGAAAATGGATTTAAAGCGATGTTTAAGTACTAAATGATATACGAGCGGTTCTCTTTGTATTCAACCAGAAAGACTCACTGAACCAATATTCACTTCAATTATCTGACAAAACCAAATTAATTATTTATTTCTTATCATAGAAATTCATTCGTTTATTTGATTAAACGTTCTAGGAAAAACAAACACATTGCAGCAACTCTTGCTTATTTGGATCGATATTGAATTTTTGTACTCAATGATTTCCCCAATCGACAACATAGAGGTTACCGTGTCGATCGAATGACAAACCGATGGGCCAATTGAGTTGGTTCGATTGTCCTCCTTTACCGTTTCCACCAACAATGACACTTCCTTGTGTGGCTCCTTTAGGCCAACGCATGATTCGATCATTCTCCCAATCAGCCACATAGACAGTGCCCAATTGATCGACAACGACTCCTTGAGGATATGACAATTGTGTAAGATCATTTCCTTGTGCTTGACCACCAGCCACGACAATGCCTTGTTTTGCACCTTCCATCCATTTCATCACACGATGATTTACCTTATCAGATACGTATACTGAATGATCTCGATCGATGAATACGTATTGTGGGGAAGAGAGTTGATCGAGACGATTTCCATATCTATTGCCACCTGCAACCACTGTTCCTTGAGATTCTCCTCTTCGATATCGTCTCACTTCAATTTTTCCAACATCAGTGACATAGAAAGATCCATTCTCGTCCATTGTCAAACCCCAACAATCGATGTTGGAGATGATTGTTTCTCCACTTGTCCCATTTCGACGAGGCCATCGAACCACTCTTCTATTCGAATAATCGCATATGATGAGACTATCTCTCTCTTTGTCGATAATCACATCATATGGGTTATCCAATTGATGATCTCCACTTCCTTGTCCATTTCCACCGGCAACCACTTGGCCACTTGTTGCACCTCGTTTCCATTCCACAATACGGTGATTTGATTGATCAGCAACATAGATTGTTTGATCATCATCAACATACAAACCCAATGGGTATGAGAGTTGATTGATTCCATTGCCTTGTCGATTTCCTCCAGCCACAGTGATACCATTTTGTTGCCATCGAGCATTTGGATGAATGTTGATGCTGAATGGAGAACGTAATGGATAGTCTAAAATAGAGACAAGAAAAATTATAAAATAAGAGAGAAATTTTCTTTGCATAGAAATCGGATTTGCTACAAGACGAAAAATGCTTTTGAATCGAATTCTCAACTTTGTCAACAACAATGGTTTTGTTTTAGAATTTTTTTTGGAGTTCAAAATTATTCATTGCAATTTTATCGGACAACTATCCATTATTCCTTTATTTTACTCACAAATTCAATCTTTTAAATTGTTATATTCGAATTCAAATTCATAAGATTCTTACACAAACGACTTTTTCCCAACGTTGTCAATGTCTTTCGTGGGCAGCAACTATAATGAATTAGAGAATGATCGTTATGGTCAACTTTCAACCAGAGTAAGAAAAGAGATTTTTGTCGTTGAAAACTGAATATTCGTGTTAGACAAGGGCCAGTTCTATGCAAATCGTTGAACAATAACTGTACCAAACTACTCCTCATTTACAAGTCAAATGTTAGACGTCATTGCTGTATTTTGTTCATCAATTACTTTTAGTTCATGATGTTAGGTATTTTAAAAAGTATCTATTGATGATAATATTGATATTGCTTAAAATTTCATTATCATGAAAACACGACTTTTTCCATATTGAAGGACGGCGGATAGGAGTGAAAGTTATTATTAATTTTGATACGGAAAGTTCGTCAAGTGAGTCTTCGAGAAGAATCGATTGGCTTGATCATGCAGTCGAATGATTTTTCTATGCTTTATATACAGATACGAATGATATGAGAACCCTAAAAAACTAGCTTACTATTAATAATGAATAAATTCGATTCCTGTAGTTTCGCTTGATTTAAAACTTGGAAAGATATTTGTCAAAAGCATGAATTGTTTGACTCAAATTCACAATCACTTATCTATCAGTGGTCAAATGAAATTTACCTATCCGTCTAGCTCCATTTATGATAATCTTGTCAGTAGAATGTATGAGAAAAGCAGATATTTTTATCACAGTTCGAACCGAACCGATGTGATTCAATTTCGGGCTGTTTTATAGAGATGAAATATTCTAATTACAAAACAAGAGTAATTAGCAAAGTAGAATACACCTTTTGTTATTATTATAATCCACATAGACAGACGACTAAGATCAATTTATTTTCATATTCAGTTCATATTTTGATAAGTTTTAGGATGAAAATAAAGAAATTCTAAATCTCATACGACGTGATTGCATCTTGTACAACGAAACTTCTCTTGAAAAATTTCAATTAAACTTATCTATGTGGTCTAATTGAAAAATAAAATGTTAAGGAAATTGAAATAGAGCAAGAAAAGAATAAATTCAATTTCCGATGGTATTAATTTAGTTTAAAATAGACAAAGTTGTTTTAATCTTGGTGATGTAATTTCATCGCGGCTATTCTCACATAGTCATAATACGAGTTTCAAAATTCTTGACCTTCATTGTTCACAGATGATATATACAAACACTACAAGGAGAAGCGATATATTTCATTGATTGGTAGCAAAGATAATACTGAGATGAAAGCTAAAACGTTTATATGATTATGCTTATTATAAACAAAAAACAGCAAGAAAAGAGACAAAACAAAGATCATTCACGCATGTAAACAATCATCGATATGATAAATTATTCATGGCAACAACCAGCCTCTTAAACCAAATAATTATCAATGAAATTCATCTAATACAATGAGGTACACAGATCTCTCAATGAACGTGCCAGTAAATGTTGATACTCAAATGTACACCAACTCATCATTTCATACTTACATCCTCATTAGCTAACACATATTATGAAAATTTTGTGGAGTTTACAAGCAGTTACTGTTACTCACAAGAATATTATGAAACATTTGAAAAAAAAGTTAATATTGTGGCTTCTGATGTACTGCGATATCCCATGCAAAAAAAAATATGAGAAAGAAATCAGATTGAAATTGATTTCAAAGTTATTTCTTCTCAATATTTTTTACATGACGTATGCAACACAACAAAATGTTGCAAAACTTTTGCCACATCAATTTATTGTTTACCATGCTATATTTCTATAAAGTGTACCAATTAAAACAATTACAGAAACATCTAAAATATAAGGAAGTAAAATATGTGCTATCACTAGTGTTTTATTTCAAGACTTTCGATTGTTCGAGTGAAGAATGTTTGTAATTCGAGTTTGTGCTAGTCTCACGATGCTATTTTCTTTCCTGTTCAGCAAAACAGAGATTTTTCTTTTTGCATAGAATTTTTACAGTAAGAAAATCTACTTACAAGTCAAAACGATCAGTCGTCAGAGCTGAAAGCGGCAGTTGACTGCATGAAGGGTTGTTAAAAGATGCTTGAAAAGTGCTGGGACTCTGCAGCAGTCTCAATGATGAAATTTTGAAGTAGGTGGATAGATAGCAGAAATGTGCACCGCGTGTACGGAGACGGAAGTTAGTGCAAATTGTATTAAGAGCATGGTTGTTGGGCGATCGCTCCGCCTTTTTTTCGTTTCTTGACTGGGTGGTTCGCGCCTCAATAATATCAGCTGTTAATTTGTATTCCAAGGAATTTTTTTTAAAAAGAGGGCGCATCGAACGCTAAAAGTTAGGAGGAGAG